AACGTAACTTTTTTCTTAGAAACCTTGAGGATTTTCGAAGCTGTAATTACCGAATTTTCGTTGTTATGGCTTCACGATCGGCAGATCTATGATTGTAGTTAATCGTGACGATCTTAATATTAATTGGTTCACCGAACAGAACACTTCTCCACATTAATTGGCCAAATTCCTGTTGGTCTGATTTTAAGTGTGCAACAAATGTCAGATCATTTTTTTCCGATGACATTCTGATCCGGTTCTCGAATCATTGACAGAAGAAGAATTCTAATCCGAACTCTCCTGCGACATTTTAGAATTGTTATAAATTGACCTTGGGGATGCACAATGATAAATTCCCTGTTTGGTAGTGATTAAAATCTAGATCAATTTAAGTCAAAATTAAATACTAATTTTAACCACATATTTAATGGGATGAAACCCAAAAATTTTCGATCATACATTTTATCAACTTTTATTAAAATTTAATTTTAATCCCATCAAACACGATCGTAATGTGAATTAAGTATAGTTTCATTATTACAATAAGTTTTTTAATCTGATACTCTGATGGTGGTGGAGACAGTTGGTGTCGATACTGGCGGAGATAGTGAACCATTATGTTGATAGAAAGATTGAACAGAGAATTAGACATCAATTTATTTATGTTTTGTGTTTGAAATAGTAAATAAATATTCTTTAAAAATTCCCTATTTAGAAAAGAGAGATTTTGAAAGAGTTCTTTAGATTTTAAATGTCAGGTAAATTAGGAGTGGACGCAATTCAGTTCGATTCGATTCCAAAGGGATCCAAACTTTCATGAAGTAGTTAAAGAATGAAATTTGTTAATTTTCAATAAACATAAACGCTATCATCAATTTTTGTACACACACACACATATATATATTCTTTCTTTACTAACCACTATGTGAGAATATAAAAGTCAAACAAGAAAACGTAAATAAAAATAAAGAAAAATTTATTTGTTCTATCAACATCTTTTAGCAACCAACTTTGAAAATAATTTATTCGTATGTTTCACGGTAAATATGAATTTAATTTAATATTTAACAGTATTAGTTCTCGTTTAAACTTATCTATTAATTTTTGTTAAATATATTAGTATACTGTCGATAGGTAAATTGTGAATTAAAATCAAACTAAACCACATATTATAAGTTGGGTTGGTTTGGTTCGAAAAATAAAATAGTTTGATTTGATTTGAAAAATTTTCAAACTACATGAAATGGTTTGAATTGAAAATATAGTACAAATCGTTTAAATCGATTCGCATTCACCCCTAGTTAACCCATTTGTGTCCTTTTTCTATGTTAAAAGAAGCTCTATACTCATTCGGATGGATTCGGCCTTATTATATTTCCACGTTCATGACTTGGGCTTAGTTGAGTTTTCCTTCTATATTTTTCATTTATAAATTAAAGTTTATATCAACACTTTATTATATTTCTATGGAATCCACGGGGTGGTTCGACGGCAGCTGCTTGCCGGAAAATTCCTAGTTTATCATGTTATATAAATTAGTACTTGAATTATATTTCGTTAACAAAAATACATATATGCAAATACGAATAGAGTAATGATTTACTGAAATCATGGTACGCACATAATAATGAGCAACTCACAACCTATTCAAACGTAAAAGATACAGAAATTTGAATAGATAAAATAAAGCGAGGTATGTGAATGCAAATCTCCTTAAAACGGATTTCGCCCCCTACACTAGTGCTAATAGAATCAAGTGAATGTCCGTCTCCCAAGATACATCACTTATTCCAAAATTATTATAGCACAATATTAATTTTGTCGGACAAATTAACGCTTGACTATATTCTTTTAAAACGGAAGTTATCAAATACTAAATATGGAACAAGTAACTCAAAAATAATTTCAACATTATTTTGACATAATTTGGATCTAGAAAGAATCGGAATTCAATTAGGATCCGTTTGATTGTAAAAATGAAATTGAATTGCCTTAAAAATGAATTCCAAGGAATTGAATTGCATGGAATTGTTTTCTTCAGAATTGTAAAATATTGTGTTTGATTGGTATAATTTTTCACGTGGAAAATGTTGAAATAAAAGTGTTTTTGGTATTCATTTGGTTTTGTTTTACATGAAAATTGTCAATTAAAGAGATAGATTTTATTGGTATTGGGGATTAAATTTGTTTCCATTGCTAACACAAAAAATAAATAAACAAAACAAGACAAAAATTTCAAGAAAATCATCTATCTTTCGATATTCGTTTAGTTTTATTTTACATGAAAATTGTCATTTAGTGGGAAATATTTTTTTACAATAATTTTTAAAATTTATTTCCATTACCAACACGAAAAATAATAATAATAAAAATGCTACAGTAGGTAGGAAAACCTATATGGTGAGAAATTGGTTTTCCTTAAAAACCAAAAAAAAGTGCAAACTTCAAGACAACCAAGAATTCGAATTCCATGAAAAAAAATATATCAAACACCTAAAGTTGAAAAATCCAATTCCAATTCCATCTTCCAATTCCATGTCCACCCTATCAAACACACCCACCCTTACATAGAATTGATTTTGAGTAAGAAAAAATGAAACTAAATTTCTCTATTTATAAATTTTTAAGTATCTCTTCCTAATGGTCGTATCTGTTGGCAAAGTTAATTTTAATAATTATATCATACCATTTTCATATTTAATGGTGTAGATTGCACCTTATCAAAAGATTACACCTATACCAAAATAATATAACTTTTTTATATGCACCATTTACATTTGAAAAGTCACAATTAATCATCGCACAAATTGGAGACTTTTTAAATTTTCACCTAAATATATCAAAAATTCCAACAGATCATAGATTCGGCCTCAGCATTTCCACGTTCATTCCTTCTAATAAATCAATTTTCTATTCACGTTGGGGTACACATCATACTAACTCAATTCTTTACTCGATCCCTTTCACTCCCTGCACTAAATTCCTTTTTTGCTATAAAATAACAGTTCGATAACAAGTTTAAAATAACAGTTCTGATGCTTAAATTTGAAGAAAGTTTTAAAGTTACAACGAAAGAGACGTTACTCGGTTATTACAAGGTATCGAACTTTGCTTTCTCTATCACCTACGTTGATAGATCATGACAAGAATCGAATAAAACAATGTTTATTGGCAAAGACCCACTAATAATTGAAAGCAAATTTGCAACCCGTGAACCCAATGGATCCATGTAATGTTATACCTCTCTTTCCTTCCACACTGTCTTTATTGTCTTCACGAGCTCAATAAACTTGACATTTCTCTTTCTTTTATAGGAAATTCCAAAACTTATCCCGAGAAACACTCCCCCTGTCATTTGGAGTCACCCACCATTTTTTGTGAACCTATGTATTAGAGGTGTATATAAATTATGTGCAAGTAGAAATGCCTAGAGAATGTTGAGGGTTGCAAAATGAGTTGGTTCGTGTCTCATGGTTGAACATTTGTAGATCGAGTATTCATTGCAATGTTACAAAAGTCGACCTGAATATTTACTTGAGAAAGATAAAGGGTCAAGAGTCAAATGATTGAACTAACTTATTTTCGTGGTGAACTTGTTCTATGAGTATTTTAACTGATTTTATATTTGGGCTTTTACATGTAATTGAATTGATTTTCTTGATTTCTTTTTGGGAAAATGACTTGTTTGATTCGATTCTTATCACACAAGTTTAGTATTTTAATAATTTATAAGCATTAAGCATATAGACACTTCACGAATTTTGAAATTTATTAATGGCTATATCAACATTTTGACGAGTTGTCTTTTTCTTTATCAAAGATCATATCGAGGGGGTGCTTTGTAGGTTAGAAATTTGTCTTTAGGTCAAGACAGCACATTTTTCTTTTTATCTTAATCAACATTATTGTTGTCAATAATAATGTTAATGCATTTTAAAATTTGATATTTAAAAACAATCAATAAGACAAGACAATACGCAATTAGGTGTACTAAATCTCTCGTGATCCAACAGCTCACTCACTATCTTCTGTACCAAATGCATAATAATATGAATCGTATCATCTTTCTTTCTCGTATCGAATTTTGATGAATTTTGGGACAAAAAATCAGTTTATTTTTCAATTATCAAAACTATTATGAATTATTGCTTTTAAAAAAAATTGTATATTATTAATTAGTTGATCGTGAAGATTACGTACTCGTGATTTACTAAATAATAACAAAAAATTGATTGAGGAAATGTTCAAATAATAAGAAAAAATCGTGTCGAATGCAAGCCGGTCTAACAATTTAAATCAAACCCGTTAATCATCCGATTCACGGACTAATATTGCAATTAAAATAAGAAGGATGAAATTATTATGGACTAATATTGCAATTAAAATAAGAAGGATGAAATTATTTAGTGAATTGTATTTAAATAAGATTAAGCATCGTAACTTTATTTATGTTTTACATTTAAAAAAAAAGTCAAATCGTCATAATCATTTCGTTAGACAGTATTTCCAAGCTGACCCATTTTTCATAATTCATGAAGAAACTGCCGCAATTTATGGGATCTTCATTAGTACAAAAAGACATCACAGATTAAATCAAGCTATTTTTTTATCCCCATTCTTTTAAAAATTCATTTTTTCAAAATTCATTTTTAACCACACATTCTTCGACAACACATTCCAGTGTTTGTTAAGGTAGCTTTACCACATAATATTTATCGTCATGCATAATTTTCATGTCAAATTTTACAATATCATGTATCACGTCTCAGAGAAAAGTTAAAATCTTATTCCACTCCGATTTGACAATCATTAAGTTCAAACTCCTTTTTATTTTTTTACGTATTCATTCTCAACACACATTTACACAATAAAATATTGTGCATGTAAACTCAAAATTTTTCAATATTTTTTATAAATTCTCCTAAAAATCACTGTTCCAAACTCTATTTTTTTTTTTCCAAATAATGATTGTCAAACAGATGTTAACTATGTCCAAAGTGTGGTCGAGTAACAAGAATCCAGAAATCAAGAAAACAATTAGATCAACTTCCATAGCCACAGCTGCAGCTTCTTGAACACTTTTCTTTCACTGTGAAAACCTGAAACTAAGCAGCAATGGCACTTTAAACAAAATATAATTAAAAACCCACAAATTTTAAAAACAGAACATTTACAATCCGCTTATAAACCACTTCAATCTTTCCCTTTCACTACTTTCTTTTCAACAAAACTCACATTAACCTAATCTAATTACATCCACATAAATATTATTATTCTATCTAGCTGTGATTTCGTAATTCATAATAAAACCTCATGGCCCTGATACCGTGGCAACATAACTATTAACCAAAGCCAGGGCATTGCTAGTCACCTCCTTCACCTTAACAACACGGCCACATATGTCGACTTTCATCGGCCCATCGGGCACATCCTCAAATCCATCCGTACACGTGTCCTCATTCGTCAAGGCAGCGCTCATCCACGTCTGTACATTGCTCATCTGAAACCTTAAGGACTCGCCAGAGCCGCTTAGCTGGCGCATTTGCTTGAGCGAGTCGCGTATTTGATCAATTGAATCGCCAAAGAGCGAAAAACAGTCGTGTAGCGCTGCAGTGGCTCGGTGGTCAGCGCCGTAGTCGGCTTCCCGGGAGAGGTTGGAGACGTAAGCTGCCATGCGCTTGGCTCTAGACAAGCTCACACCAACCGCCACGCGGGCCAGTCGGGCAGGGTCTTGTTGTACCGTCTTAGAATAGCCAGCTAAGGAATGGTAGCATAATTCTGGGTATAATGTGGTTGCACAACTTGTCCGGATAAAAGAACTGTCATTTGGGGGATCCGGCCCTGCCGCAGGGACGGCAGCGGTGTCGATGGAGTACCCGAAGGACGGAACTTGGTGGATTATGAAGAAGAGAATTGTGTGAATGGAAAATATACATACGTTCTTCATGGTGTCTCTGGTTTGTTAGAGTTCAATTTGTGGACTCTAGACTTTGGATGCGATGTCTTTATTCAGGGACGGTGTCAAAGGAGCTTAAGTAAGGGTATTGAATTAGTGATATGGCAATTATGCCCTTGGAGGTCAAATTTTATTACAAGAAGAATGGATTGTTTGATTTATTTCCCTAATTTTATCAGTGGCACATGGGTACATGTTTATTTTGCTTTAATATGGAAGTGGAATTATTCAAAAATTAAAAAAAATAAAAATAAAAATTCTTTAATTCAATAAGTAAGATCATCTAAATGTTCACGTGTATGTTATATAAAAAATAAAGTATTCGAATTTTTACGTTAACTCAATGGTCAACTCTTGAATAAATTTTTCCAGATTTTAATTTCAAGAACTTGATACTTTAAACCTCCAAATCTTTTAGAGTATTCTCCAAAATCAAAACTACATCAGTGGATGGACATCTTCTTTTAATTAAATCAAGAAACTAGTCTTAAATTGGACAATTGAATAAAGTATAAAAACTAATTTTTCTCTCCAAATTTGAACAATATAAAATTTTGTAGTATGATTGTTGTTAGGGCTGGACAAAACTTTCGAACCGAACCGAACCGAACCCGAACCGAACCCGACGGTTCTTCTCAAATTAAATACTCGAATGGGTATTTGAATCAAGAACCGACGGGTATGGTTCGATTCTAGATTCTAGGCCAAGACTCGAAGAACCGAATAAGAACCGAATCTCCGTAATTTTTTTAATTAATTTATTTTAAATAAGTAAAATTATTTTATTTTTTCTAAATAAATTTGTTAACTAGATAATTTAGTTCAAACCACAAAATATGTTTTTCCTATTTCTAATATTCAGTTCAAAATTGATTTAATCAAATTGACCTCAATTTTATCCAAATCTGTTATTTTACTGTAGTGTCGTTTCTACGGGAGAAAATCGAATTAAAGCTCTACAACATCTCTCTTAATTATTTTGAGCTCGCTATCTTTCTCTTTCTGTGATTTTTAATAATCAAGTTTATGAAGAATTCAGTAAAGAGAGACGCGAAACACATAAGATTGAACTACGTTATTTTGTAAAAACTAATATTAAATATATCATTAATTAAATTAACGTAATTTTGTATATATTAAAAAATTTAATTATAATTCGGAATCGAATGGAACCGAACCAGACCGAACCGAACCGAATAGAACCGAACCCGAACGGTTCCGTAATTAAATTTGGACCCGACGGTTCCACTTATTAAATACCCGAAAATTTTGAGTCGGTTCAATTCTCGTCAGAACCGAACCGAGCCGGATCATATCCAGCCGTAATTGTTGTACAATCACATAGGATGTCTAGTTTCCATCTAATCTCTATTTATAGAGATGGAATAGTTACAATAATTGTATAATAATAATTTCACATTCAAATAAGAGTTCTAATTAAAAGTTAAGTAAGAGTTTTAATTAAAATCCAAATCCAATTAGTTTACATTTAATTACATGTGTAGTCCTAAAACTTTAATTATAATTATAATTAAATTTACTACTTTTATAGTAATTACAACTAAGTATAAAACTTTATTGTAATTACAATTAAACCACAAACTATTATAATTACCGTAATCACGTTTCAATACGTTATGGAGTTACCATAGGGACTTGATTGGACATATATTGTCCAAACTTCAATAATTAGATCCTGTCTAATCGACCTAAGCCACTCGATCTAATTATTAGTCTTTGCGATTTTTACTAAAAACAAAAGACTGAACTCTTGGAATATATAATATAAGATCACAAAAGTCAATAAATCTGTAATAAATTCATTTGACCTGCCATAGATGTATTTTATCCTCATCTAAGATTCAATAATTACTTACGAGCATAAATGACCGTTTTGTACTTTTAATTATTCTCATTAACTTAAATTTCATTTTCTTCAACGGTGTGAACTAATCACAGATGTTAAAGTTTAGCCGTCACTAAACACAGAGCTCAAATTTTAACTATTCGACAAAAAATTCTTAAACAGTCAATCTATCCATTTTTTAGGACACAAATTCATGTTCTCTATTTTGTTCATTCTCAAATCCTCTACTCATCGAGATATTTGACCAATCAAATTGATCTCATCCATTAATGAATCAAAGAATCATGAAAAAGATATATACAATCCCGTCAAGGTATTTAGATGAAAAAGACAGTAGTCAAGTGAAATTTAATTCTCCGCATGATCATACTATAGAATTAAACTCGACACGTGATCCGTTCAACACACTCCTAGTATATTAGTGTCTCTTTTAACTATTTCTGTGATAAGAACAAATAAAAAACTTGAATATTAAATCAATCAATACTACAACCTTCCAATATAATGTGTCAACCCTTATGCATTGGTTCTGACATCAAAATATAAGTTGTGTCACACTGTATTTCACAAGTATCCAACTTATGTTATTTCAAGTAATTATGGGCACTTTGATTCGCATGCTCAATAATAAATAAATGCAATAAATAAATAAAATCATAATTTATTTATTATAAATTATTATTTCATCATAGCAAAATATACTATATGGTTACACAACCCAACAAATCTCCCACTTGCCCTAGAATATATATGTCATGTCTTGCAACCTCTATCTTGTAGGTGTTACGTGTTGACATACTTGGCCGACCCACTGGGCCCATGGCCTACTCATGCCGAACCACGTGGCATCCCAATCAAGGCTCCCAGACCAACAGAAGTCAACCAACATACCGAGACAACACCCATGACGTGACCCAAACGCTGGCGTCGAAGTGAATAGGCCGAGGTGGTTTGTCTTGCCGAGGCCCATCATACCGAAGCCCAGACGCCTTAAGCAACACTCCTCCCCAGAAATTCAATCTTACACAATGATCCTTCCTGATTGATTGATGGGACACCCACCATAGATTGCGAGATGAGGCTACGTGTACTCCCAACCGAGGACTACAATCAACTTGTAATACTATAAATACTCTCTCATCCATCTCTCAAAGGGATAATGCAAGATTCAATACAAGAACCAAGATTACACATTATTTACTCTCTGAATACACTTTATTCAACAACCTGTTTACTATCTTGCAAATACAATACAATACGAATTCATACGCGCATTCTATAAACATCGATTTGTAATTATTATACAATCGTTATGCAAACATCTCACCGGATTCTGAACGTTCTTGTCCCGCGCTGTTAAGTCGTTCCCAAGTAATTGATCTGTCCATTTGAGACAGTCCACGTGTCTTAACATGTCGGACTAGGCTTATGTGTACACGGGTGGGTCCGGTATCTGTTGGCAACATTTTTTGTGGTCAACATATTGGCGCTCTCTGTTGGAAACCATACCATAACCACGAGTAACCGTGTGGAAAGCTTACTAAAAGAAAGATACTTGGGCATTCCCCTTGAAAAAGAATTTGTTCTTGGAAAAGAACAAGTGAAAGCCCCATAACTTGCAACAATTTGAAGTTGAAACACAAAAGAATGAGTTCGGACGAAGATGTACCCCCAGGAGGGTAAGGGAAAATGTGGGAATGCCCGCATCGATAGCTACCCCTACAACTTGGTATCGGCCTCATTACCACTACAGAAGAGGAGGCATGCGAATGGCCACCCAGTTGTCAAGAGAGATGGTTACCATGGTCATAAACATGAGGGACATTGCTAGCCAAAACATGGCCATAAGGGAACTCATGGCCCAAATGCAGAGCCAAGGAGGCTTCCCTATTCCTCCATATGCACCCCAAGGACATTATCAACAAGATGAGGAAGTCCAAAGCCAAAGAGCTGTATCACCAAAATACAGCTGAGGCGGAAGCCCCATGGAGAGGGAGGTAGAAGTTGATGTTTCCTCCAATTATGCTACAGGCCAGCCCACCGAGGCCCAGTATAATCAGGACAACTTTCCACCAGCATATGAGTCAGAACAAAGACCTAGGAGGTCTACCAACGTCTGAAAAAATCAACCCCACAGAACTGAAGAGCAGGCAATAGCAACAGCCACGTGAGCCTCAGACTAGGCCACAGCCCCCACCTCCAATGACTCATCAGCCAGAGAAAAGGCATGAAAATGCCCCCCGTGTTGTCCCACATAGAAACAAGTGCCAAAGGAGGGAAGAGGAGGCTAGGATCCAAGTCGAATCCTCTCATCAGCCACCCAGGTACAAGGCTGATGAGAATAATGACTCAGATGAGTAGCAAAGGTCATGTAACTTGGATGACGACGATGAAAATTTGTCATTTTCAAGGAACCAAAGGAGAGCCCAGGTTCCGAGTCACTATGTGGTGCCCAAAATACTAAAGTACAACGGGAGAGGCAACCCAGAGAAACATCTAAGCACTTATAAAACTCATATGAGCCTTAGAGGCGTCATCCTAGCTGTGAAGTGCAAGGCTTTCCACTTGACACTTAGTGGAGCGGTTGAACTCTAGTATAGTAGGCTGCCACCTAGGAGCATAAGGAGTTGGCCAAAATTCAAAAACACTTTCCCAAAAAGATTTGCAGTAAGTAAAGAGAGAGAGGCCCCTATCCAACGCCTTCAAAACATGAGACAGGCGCACAAAGAGTCCCTAAAGAGCTTTCTATCACTTTTTACTGATCAAATGACATATTGCGTGCAAGTCACTGATCATGAAGCTTTATCAGACTGAAGGGAGGTCTGAGTAGGAACACCCTGTTTTGGAGAGATGTGCAAAACCAAGATCCCATCACTTATGACGCTTTGCTAAAAATGATGAGGTGAGAGATAATTAATGAGGAATTGATTGAACATCGAAATTGGACTAGCAGAGGCCTCCCACCTCAACAAAGGCAACGTACTGAAGCTCCGGTACTCTTCGGTGTTGTAGAAATTGGCAATATACTCCTTAACTGCCTTCTCCCCCGCCACCTTGGCTGTCTCTTTCGCCCTGGCCAATTCATCAACCTGCCGTTTTATTTGGCCATTCAAGAAGTTGTATGCATCCTTGGCCTCGACAAGCTCTAGGTTTGCTTTCTCCAGGGCCTCAGCAGTGACCTTCTGAGGATTATTT